CGAGAGCTGCTGACCCCAGCTCCACTACCTGGGCATCCTAGCCTGTCCACCCCACCCCTACTGCTGGGGGTGGGACCTGCACGGGCAGGGTGCGCAGCAAGGCGGATGGGATGGGATGGGGCTGCGGGTGGGCAGGGAGCGGTGTCCAGGACCAGGATGGATGGGTGTGCACGGTTGGGACTGTAGGTTGCTGACAGGTGCAGGGGCAGGGCCTGGGGCAGAGCTGCAATCCTCTGCCTACGTTTCCCTGTGACAGGCGCTGATTGCATGGGCAGGGGTGTGCGGCGAATGGGTTGCAGCTCTGCCTTGGCCTCGTGCTATCACTGTCCCAAGATCCCAGACTTAGCCCAGTCCACCAGTTCCACTCCCAGACACAACTCCCCACCCACCTGCGGTCCCATCCCGTCTGCTTGGCTGCATGCCCTGCCTGCACAGGTCCCAGCCAGTCTCCGTTGAGACCCTGGGATCATGGGGCAGCAACAGCGTGGGGCTCCCTGCACGCCCCTGGGGCAAAGTCGCGATCTGGTCCCACATGCCCCTGCACATGGAACTGGCGCTCGTTGCAGGGGTGTGCAGGGAGCGGATCATGGTTCTGCCCTGGGCCCCAGCCCCATGGTGTCACGGCCCCATTCCAGCTACCTGGCCAAGCGTGGATCAGAGCCACGTAAAGAGTTTTCATGAGCTGTTGCAGGCGGGGGGTGGGGGTGGGGGGTGCGGAAGGGGGGTTGGTGCTGACTTGGCTCATGACAGCTCATCAAAGCTCCCTAAGTGGCCCTCAGGCCCAAATAATTGCCCAGACTGAACATTGTGTCTAGGTTAGCTGGATTCTTTTCAGTCATAGCATGGGTGAGACTTAACCTCTAAGCCCAATACAAAGCATTTGGGATTCCCGGGGTCCTTTTATATACACTGATCAAAACAGTTTAATGTTTACAGCATCCATGTGCTTGTTCTTTTAAAGATCTTTAGGTAACACCATCCAACAATTAGTGTTTCCTTCCTACCAGATAGGAAAACCAGTTGTCTAGGTTATTGATCTTTATTTTGGTGACCTGTAATGGTCTTATCAATTCTCTGTCTCTCTGCTAGCCTTGAAAAGTTCCTGTAAAAACTAACAAAGTTACTTCTATGCAAGTTATTTATGGTATGCCTAGTTCTATTCTAATGAGGCCTACTTTGGTGCATGCTGTTAGCAGGGCCTCTGTGTGACTCGTATATGCACTAATCAATGGTTGTATTAATCCATACTCCAGTGAGGCCTACATGGCCACATGTATGGGCTCATACATGCATTTGGCTGTACATTTCTTCCAGGATGTGGCATTTTCTTTCAGCATTTTCAATCCTTGTTAACTAATGAAAGACTATGTGAAGAGAGCCCAAACTCCCCCCCAAAATGTCTAACATTGTTTTTAAACTCTATTTAAAAAACAAGGTGTGATCAACGTTTTACTGAAGGACTGTTGTTAAAAACATCTCAAACTTTACATATTGACTACATTTGGTCTGTACTTCCTTTCTTTGTGAGAATAAAAGTAACACTGACGATGTATTGGGAGTGGTCCATAACACTTGTCACTATTTCGGATATTTGGCTAAAGTATGAAACACTTTCCACTGTAGCCATGGATTAACTTTAAGGAAAGCATTTCAGCTTGGTTGAACCAGAGAGAGATATCCATTAGTGTATGGAAACACCAGACATAAATGATTGTTCTGACCACTCACAGAATCTTATTTGTTGCCTATAATGTTAAGACCTAGAAGCTATTGCTTTGAAGGCAGAACTGATTTTGGCCCCAGGGAAAAATGGGAAATTACTCAGCTCTTATGCTAAAAGAAGTGTGATGATTTTAGGTCAGACTCCTAGGTGGAAGAATATAATTTACTTTTTGTATTTTTGGAAGTGCCCTTCAGCTGACTAGGTTTTCACTTAAGTCCTAGTACTCTTGCTCTGGAGCCCCCACTGAATTGTGAATTCTACTTTTCCAGTGTCAAATACCATCTGGTTAAATGGATCTTTACTCTAAAATGTTGAATTCTATTAATTTTTGTGTATATTGTGTAATATCAGTGTTGATGGTGTTAGAGGGTGCAGATAACAAATAATCTGGTGGGACCCACAATGAGCATACTACCTCTATGGGTTCCCTACGAGGGAGACTAATTGCCTTGTTCAAGGTCCCATGGGATGTCAGTGACAGACAGGGAATTGACCCTGGGTCTCCTAAGCATGCAAGCTAGCACTGTTACGATTGGTCCATTCTTATGAATTAGTATCAAGAAATGAAATAAGAGCTATCTTATTTTGGCTATATTTGTTTAAATGAGGTTTAAGATCCCCCTTCCTGGGTACCCAGTTAGTATATGTTGGTAAGAGCTCTCTAGAGTGTAGTCACTGAAATACTTGTTCATAGAAATGATTTGCAACATTTGCTTCATCTTGAGTTCAAGAAAATAATTTGCATCACCATTTCCTTTCCAGTCCTGATCAGCTGCTTGAGAACGATGCCAGGGGCAAAGCACTAGTGTGCAACATCTTCCACTTTTAACCTTCTTCTGTGTCTTTTCTGTGAGGAGGTAAAGTGGGCCATAAGTTTTGCAATTCAGAATAGTGTAGGTTCTTGAAAAGCAGTAGAAATACATTATATGGATCAGCTTAGGTTTTTAAAGTAAACATGTCTGGGAACAATCATGATGGACATGTTATGTATTGATAGCTCTTAACTTATTCTAATCTTTGCATTTACCCCACCCCCCTGTGAATGAACATGAAAACAGTGCCCATCAAATCACATCCCTCTGCTTAAGGAACTACTGAGCTGAAAAAACAAAGTAGTTTTCTTCCCCCCTTCCCCCAACTCCTTGGCTTGCCTTGAATTCTGATCTTCCTACTATGCATCTCTTCCAAGTTCACAGCTTGGCAGAAGCAAGTGTGGGTGTGTTTTGATTTGTATCTGACAACAAAAGAATGAAATGCAATGATCTCATGACAAGTGGATCAGTGCTCACAGGTGAATCAACACTTAAAGATTTGACTCACATAAAACCAACAACAGGGGAAAAATCTGTTCTGACCCTTCAAAGGCAACAATTTATGAAAAGGGCAGAAAATCCCAACTTAGTTTTTAGTATTTATCTCTCAAAAATAGCTACCAAACTGTATACATTCTGTAAACCATTTTAATATCATTTGATATAAAGATTTGAATATTGTGTAGAACTGAAAAAGAGAGACATGACAAACCCAGACTTATATAAGGTTAAGTGAAAAGGTTTCTCTGAGTAGGAAACCCCCAAAATTTGCCAGGGTGATTTTTTTTTTTTATGTTAAATTTCTACAGGGGTTATATAAAATTCCTGTAACTATAGAACAGCAGAAAGTAAAAAATATATACATTGCTCGGTTATTTTGCTTTCAGTTACTGAAGAAATTAATTCATATGCAAGTACAGAGCCCAGTGGTAGGATGTCAAGTGAGCGGGCTGTTTGGCCTGGTATAGATGAAGGCTGCGCGAGGGACATAACTGCCATTATGGATATTGTGAACAGTCAAAGTTCACTCACATCTGCCCACAAAGCCCTGTGACTCTACCATGTATTGCTTCTTGCCCTGAAGTCTGGACAGGAGCTAGTCAGGGCTCAGTGCTGCAGCTGGCAGGGTGCTGGTCCTCTCAGCAAATTCCCCCAGTTGAATTTAAAATCATAGAAAATTAGGGTTGGAAGGGACCCCAGCAGGTCATCTAATCCAATTGCCTGCTCAAAGCAGCACCATCCCCAACTAGATCATCCCAGCCAAGGCTTTGTCAGCCTGGGTCTTAAAAACCTCCAAGGACGAAGAGTCCACAATGTCTCTGGGTGACCTCTTCCAGTGCTTTACTACCCTCCTCATGAGAGTTTTTTTCCTAATATCTAACCTAAACTCCCCTTGCTGCAACTTGAGACCATTGCTCCTTGTCCTGTCATCTGCCACCACTGAGAACAGTCTAACTCAGGCAGGGCTGTATTATCCCTTTAGTGGGTCAGAGGCAAACCAACTCCTAGGCCCCAGGCTGGTTGAGACCCACCTCCCCGCTCCCTGCTGCCACGGGGGAGGGGAGGGGGAAGACTGCCCCTCCGGCCCACAGAGTATCCAACCAGTTGGGAAATTTGGTGTCAGGGGAGCCATGGCAAGCCATACTGCCAGCCCCACTCCCTCCCCGATTGGATCAGAGCCAGGCCACGCTCCTTCCACATGGCTGGATGGGGCCCCTCCGCAGCCGCCCTGGCTGCTGGATTGGGATCCACGGCAGGCACTGCCCATCCATCCCACCGGCCAAGACGGTGGGGCACCACGGGCCTCGCTCCATTCTCCGTAGAAAGGGTGGCTACAAACTTGACTGCCGGGCAACCGTGACCGGAGTCTGCGGAGGTCCCTGGGCCCCAAGCAGGGGTCTCCCCTCAAGTCCCTTTTACTTTTTCCTGCTATCTCCTGAGCGCCCGCCTGCCAGGTGGGGGCGGGGCTGGTCTGGGTGCCAGGCTCTGCTGTGCGGTGCGTGCAGCGCACTAAAGCGGGACCCCTCGCACAGCCGTGTCCCCGGGCACAGCCCGGCTCGTGGCCTCTGCTGCTGGTGTGACCACAAGGCGAGGGCAAGGGCAAGGGCAATGCCTCTGCTGCAGGAGCAGTGGGAGGCCGGCGCAGGGCGCGGCGGGGTGCCGCCTCTGGGCGGGGTTTACATTCGTTGG